GGAAGTAAGAAAAGTAACAGAAGTAACATTTCTGTTACTTTTCACGTGACTTCGAATCGGGTAGGGATCGTCGCTCGGTTCGGGCCCTCGTGATTTACCAAAAATCGGGCTCACACTATGCAGATCGATTTTCCCCCCTACCCTATCAGGAACATCATCAGAACTGTATTTTTGTGTCAAAATGCAAAAAAATTAACTGTCACGTTGCTGATGCATATTCAAAGTTTGAGTAGCAAAACTTAATTTTGATACAGTACACCTAAACATACCCTAAAATTTTTATAGTTTTTATTAACTTTTTATTATAAGAACATACAATCCTATTGGTTAGTTTTAGGATATGTTTAGATGTATCAAAAAACGTAAATGCAGAAGTATCAAAACGTAATATTTGCTAATCAGTAATTATCATTATAATTCATGCATCATGCAACGTGACAATTTCAGAAATCAGATTTTCGAAAAATCGAAATGAAAGGTAGTAATCATTTCACAACTGTTGGTGAAATTTTTGTTGAATTGGTGAAATTTTGAAATTAAATTAACCAATATCTCCAACTGTTGTTTGTTCTTTAATGACTTGTTGTGATTCAACCAGAGTGGACATACGTCATGAATAGTAATTTTTAAGAGATTGATATCATGACTCACAAAAACCACACTTGTGCAATGCAATCTTTCTATTTGTTAAAATTATATTAAGAATGACACGTCAATTGACAATATTGACATAACAATTACTCGATTGTACTCTAATAATTAAAGTTATACCTTAAATAGTTTTAAGGATATAGTGATTATGCATACGTAGTTATGCGTTTAACCCATCTGTCTCAGCCAAAAACACATATGTTTTCTATTGGTTAAGCACTACTTAAACATGTCATTTGACGTCTAAACCCTACTATATTTAAAATAATAATTGGTATAGATTTTCTGAATAGAATATAGTAGTTTTCAAAAAGAATGCATTATATGAATAAAAAATTTGAAACATAAATTTATTATAATGCAAAAGTTAGGGATGGGGTCCCATAGCCTAGTGGTCTAGGTGCCCCTCCCTCCACAGACAAGGTCAACAGTTCAATTCCAGCTGGAGGCAAAGCTCTGTAATCTACAGAAGCATATGAATGTACACAAAGCCCTGTGGCTAAGTCCATGTAATTAGAAGATCAGTATATAAGGAAGTTCTTGGAAAAAAGTTTTCCAATATGGAGAGTTGGCACTTGATGCGAGAGAAGCAGTGAACATACCAGAAATAGAGAGAAGGTGCACTAGTAGGTGATATAGTGAACATAAAAGAAAACTATAGAAAAGGAATAGACTTATCAAAATTTGAACATTTCTGACATCAAAACTGGGTTTAGTAGATATAGGATCTATTAAAATTGGATAAATCTAAGGAATAATCTTGGTATCATACTTAGTAAGTTTGTGTTAAAGATAAATTCGAAGGACTATGGATACTTAGTAATATCCAATAAAGTAGTATTTAGATATAAATAGCAATTAGATAGTCTTAACTTATTCTGTCATAATACTTAGTGATATACATTGTATATATATGCAGTAAGTGTTAAAAATTAGAAAGTTTAAATAAAAGACTCATAAACAGGTCTCAGATATGGTATCTAGTAGATAACTCATAAGCAGAACCCTTAATTAGATAATAACTAAAGTTATATGTATGATTAGTTGTACTTTCATTGATATATTCTGTATATAATATGTAATCTTATATGGCTAATAATAAAAAGACACATAGGTAAAATCATCCTTGAAACTAAAAAAAAATTATGATACAAAAGTTATTGCAATTCAAGAAATTATTATTGGAATTATCATGTTGAATGTATTATAATATAATATTGTTTATACAGTAATAAAAAAAGTATTAGATGTTGTTTGTTATTTATACAATGTATTTATTTTAATTATTTGTTTATTTTTATTTACTATATAGTAAACTTAATAAAAAACAATCTAAATATAAAACATTTGAACATATAATAGTTCATAGATTTAATAAGATGTTTATATATATCTATTTTTAATTCAACTCAGATTTTTTGAATAGTTTTTTATAATTCATTATTCATTTTCATATGTTTAAAGTTTTTAAATAATAATTTATCTCTCTTTATAAGTATTCTATAGGATTCAAATCTGAAGACTGCAATAATCAATTAATTATTCTTATATTGTTTTTTTTTAAACTATTTTTTTATAAGTCTTGTAATATACTTGAAATTATTATCTTTATTAAAAAATAATTTCATTTCTATCCAAATAATATTATTTGATATTTTTTATTCTAAGATTTAATAATATAAAATATAATTTATATTTTTATAAATATAACAAAATTATTAATATTACTTAAGATAAAATATTTTTATATTATAATTTGTTATTTTCAAATTTTTTATAAAATGAATTTGATGTTCTTTAATAATTCATTAGACTTTTTTTAATATTATTCTTTTTTATCAGATTTAAAAATTATAAACTGTCTTATTTAACTATACTACTCTTATTTTAAGTTTTTTTTATCTTCTAAAATTAATATTTTTTAATAAACATTAAATATTTATTCTTAATTTTTTAAACAAATATAATTTTTATACTTAATTTAAATATGCAACTTATTTATATATAATATTTTTTTTATTATATTTATATTAACAAAAATTACTTTTTTGATTTGTAATATTTTTGAACATTAATAATAATAATATATTTTTTTAATATAATATAATATAACATAGTCTATTTGTAATAATTAGACAAAAATCTATGATATAATCTTTTTTAGTTTTTTAAAATACATGTTTCTTATATATAATATTTAAATATTATAATAATTAAATATGTAATATTTTTACAAATGATTAATTTTAGAATTAAGTATTATTTTGAAAAGAAATACAAATTTAAACTTATTATTTTTAGTAACAACTGAATTATATAATCTACAATTTTTTTACAAAAGCAAAAATGTTATAAGACATAACTTTTATATATAACAGAAAGATTGTTTTACAATATAAAAATGGTATACATTATAGTTTAACATTTGTTTACCACAACAACCAAAAAATTTATTATGATTTTTCTAGATTATTTTTATAATACAAATTTTTTAAAATAAAGAAAGAATCCTTTATTTATATGAAAACTTTAAGGTAAAACAAATCTAAATTATGATTTTATAGAATAATAACATTTAGATTATAAGATATTAACATTTTAAGTTTTATTTTTAAGTAATGCATTCTTTTTAAGAACCACTATACTTTTACTAGTTGTTAATGTAAAATAGGTATTGTTTAATTAGTAATTTTATTATTGTTTTCTTTTTCACAAAATTTTATTATGTTTTTTTTTGGTTGTAACATTTTATTAGCATTAATTTATACTTTTTTTGATACAGCATATAAAGTTTTGTGACAAGCATAAAATCAAACAACCAATTTCTTCATTGGGATACACGTTCACTGTTACATGATTCCGCATAGAGCACTTAATAAAATACCCTCCATAAATGTACATCTTTTCTAAATGCAAATATTTAAAAATTTTCCTTATAGTCTCAAGGGGGATGCATTTACGAAAGGTTAACAGTATTTGTTTTTCACTCTAAAATATCGATGGTATCGATGGGTTTACTCATTAGAGACGAGCTTATGGTTGTGTTAATTATTTGTAATGTATTATCACCTTTTAAAAATAGCCTTTTAATTTCATTTTCCTCATTCAAACTTGACTTTCTTCGATCCAAAATCCAACTTGAAAATTAACAGATTTTGCAGTAGGTCGGTTTTTAGGATTTGGATCCATACATCTCTTAGCTAATTTAACATAACAGTTAGGTGTCCCAGGAATAAATTCTAAACCTTCAAAAGCTTGTTTTCCAGTTAATATTTCCGTCATAATAACGCCAAGACTATAAACATCAGCTGCTGGTGTAAACAATTTTATGATCTAGTAAAACTTCTGGAGCGATGTAATGTTCAACACCGAATTTTTTACTCGTTTTAGAAAGTCCTAAATCAGCGATATACGCGCTACATAAATCGTCTTGTAAAATATTACCACTATGCAAATCTCGATGTTCGAGTCCTTGAGAATGGATAGCTACGAGATCGAAAGTTATGCAATACAATAATTTCAATTTATCTTTCCATCTCATTTTCGCTATAGAATTAAGATTCTTATTTAAAGAACCCATTTTTGCATACTTTAAAACAAGGATATATTTTCCAGTTTTATCTCTTGATATACCATAGCATTTTAAAAATGAAGGATTCTCGTATCCGATTTCACAGTACGCTTTCAGCTTTAAGAAAATATATTAATAAAGTAATATAATAAAAGAAAAAAAAAAAGATGGTAAAAATTACAATAAAATACCTCGTCTAAATAATTTTGATCATGAATTTTTTTAAGCGCAAATGTAATATCTTCACTATATTTTTTAGTTATTCTTATCCATCTCGCACTATATACAGTTGCAAAATTACCCTGTCCGATTTCTTTGATATTTTTAAATTCATTATAAGGAATCCATGTTAATTTATATCTATTATCATCTAATAATTTTTTCACAACATCATCAATATCAAATTTTTCATATGTTGATTTAATCGTTTCGTGAGAATTGTTTCTTTCTATTTGAAACCAATGATTAGCCTTTTGTATATCTACTTGTGTTCCGATTCCGTTCCGATAACAATATCCAAGTCGACTCATTGCACCATTATCTCCCATTTCTGCTGATTTTTTAAAATATTCGAATGCTTTATATTCATCCTTTTCAACTCCATCTCCATTAAGATAACAATCTCCGACATTACACATTCCACTAGTATTCTCCATTCCTGCAGATTTTTGAAATAAATAAATGCCTTATGTTCATCCTTTTCAACTCCAATTCCCTTATAATAACAATATCCAACACCATTCATTCCATCAGCATTCACCATTTCAGCAGACTTTTGATAATAAATGAATGCTTTATGTTCATCCTTTTCAACTCCAATTCCATTACGATAACAATATCCAACATTATTTGTTGCATCGACGTTCCCCATCTCTGCAGACGTTTGATAATAAATGAATGCTTTACGTTCGTCCTTTTCAACACCAATTCCATTGAGATAATTATATCCCATCTCATTTAATTTCGACGTATTCCCTTGACCCATTTTTTTTTAAGACATGAGAAAAAGAGGAACCGAATTTGTATTTTTTATCGTAAATATATGTACAAAGGTATTTCGCAGATCAATATGGTACGGGTGAGCAGATCAGTATGGTATAGGCCGAATTTTAGAACCTATACCATACTGATCTGGTGTTATATATATTAGCGTTAGGGTTAGGAATTATAGCTGATCAGTATGGTATAGCTTTTACTTCCTCTTAATTTTGGCTTATACTATACGGATCTGCTCGCCCGTACCATACTGATCTGCTATAATCCCCAATAAAATTTAAATTCACATTACAACATTAACATTCGTGTAACAAACACTATCAAGTCAGTTAAGCGTTAGTTCAAACACTATCAAGTCAGTTAAGTGTTAGTTCAAACAATATCAAGTCAGTTAAGCGTTAGTTTACGTACGTACGTAGTTAATTGCAAATCCAGAGTTGTTAAGTTATTCTCTCTAATTGCTAAAAAAAAATAAACCATTTACCAAAATATCACAAAATTCATTTAATAAACCTGAATTATTAAAGCCGGTTCCAACCTCTAGTCCTGACAGTATTCTTTTTGTTATCTAAATTTAATTGTTATAAAGTTAAGAATCACATCGAAATGATCAAGGAAGCCGTTCGAGAAATTCAAAGATCTAATTTAACCAATTTAACATTCCCGTTAAAAAGTAATTATCTTTGGTCATTATTTTTTATTTTTAATATTATATAGAATGACAATATAACAATTTAAAAATCCGTACTGAATATATATTGAGGTTTAAAAATTATGAAATAAAATGCGATATTCTTGTTTTTACAGATTATAGAATTTTGTCTATTCAAAAAATATATATCGATATTGCTAATTTACTTTTTAATGATTATGTTGTACGCTACGTCTCCATTACTAAAATTTATAGCTTAATGATCTTTACGTTGTAAACGTAAAACGGCTAATCGGTCGGATCTCTCGTGTAACCACTTGGAAGGGTAATTCGGGTCGAAGGAGGCGTGTTAGATTCGGCGAGTGGTTTACTTAGGAATAACTGGGTTTTACCGGTAACGAAAGTGTCAGGTCGGTGTTGAGTAAATACTAGCGTACGTTACTTGATTACAAGTTAGGGACAGATCAATTACAACATTTATGATTAATAAAGTTATTCGTGTATTTATTATCGTCAAGCAGTTTTATTTGAATAGTTATGAATTGTATCGATTATTTATTGTTTGCCAGGAGGAAGTTGTTCTTCCCAAAGGGCCTTTCGGTCTTTATTTATAATTTAAATTTTCTATTTACATTATGCGAGGGATACGACTGATATCTCTGGTTCTATTGATACGTCTTATCCCTCTGATATCCAATGCAACCAATCGGTCGCATGCGACGAATGCGACGAATGTGATCGACCCCCTTTTCCGAATTAGGTGATGAACCCCAACCGACCAGGGTCCATCTGTGCCCCACAACGTATGGAAAACCATCGATTCTGTTTTTTGATTAAATGCATCACATTTTGTTTTCTTGTAATATTTTGGATTCCATTTTGTATAGTAAAATTTGCTGGACACTAGGCATTTTGTGAGATAAACTTGGCGGTATGATTTACGACTGTTTTTTTAAGCAATATTCGTTCAACAATCCAAATTTTGATAAGTCCAAATACTGTATTTAAAACCTTATTCGGATAATGCTTATATATTGAACAATCCATAATACCGTATATCTTTACTTTTAGATTATTAATATGGCCACTACGATTTTTTTTTGAATGTTTAAAAGTTTAGAATAATGAGCATTCAAAATAATTGCCTGAAGCACTGAAGTATATATTGCATAACAGCGCTTAGTGTTGCTTCGGATCAATATCAGATTCTGATTTCATAGTATAACGAAAATACTTATTGATATAAATCTTAAAAATAAGTACATTTGATAATAAGATCTAACAATGACAAGTTTTATTGAAATTTGTTAGTATGATATTAATTTAGTTTTATTTAAACAACTCCTTACCTTCCATCTCAAATGATATTTATTCATTGAGATTATTTAAAACTTTAATGGGATAATGACGACTTTAAACTTTCGTTAACCAAAAATATTCGTATTTTGGAATAATTGTGCAAGGATTAAAACATTTGCACTCAAATATTATTATTCATCGCGATTTAGTAATTACGTAATTGTTTTTCAGTATATTCAAAATGATTGCCAAATGCCTCAATGACATCTTTCAATGCCAAATATATTCCCAAGTTACCGAATTCAATTTCTTCGTCCGATAATTTTGTATACTGTCAACTCACTTTAAGTGCGACTCTTAAATTTTCTCTGAATGTAAGACTTCTTTTTTTTTCCAAATATATAGAGTAAAGTGATGCAAATATAGAAGTAATTAGCATTTGTTATGAATTCTCATAAGTAATTGCTTTTAATTTTAATCTCATCAATAAATAATGATCCATCACTAAGTATAACTCAAAAATATTATTGTCATATCAAGTTATTATTGTTAAAGGAAGATTATTGCTCTAACGTTATAGAGTGAATTCCATTTCACTGATGGAAGACTTAGAACAGTCTAACAATTGCTTTTGAATGTTTTCAATGCTAAACTTTAAAATCATGCAAAACCATTATTTGAATGTTCATGTTTTATAAAAAAAGTTTCCTCGAGTAATTTAAATAATGGACTTAAAGATTTGCTTAAATATGAGAAATGAATTAGAATTTAGATACGATTGAAAATCCTTTAATTGAAATGTTTTCTATGGATAAGTGAATTAGAATTGGAAGGACATAAATTTAATGATATAGTGCAATAAAAGTGTTCTATGAGAAAATAATTCATTGATTTCTTTGAATCTTTCATTTTATCAACTTGATGCTAAAATAGCAAATACACTTTGTGAAAATAATACCTCGACTTCTCTAAAGATTTACATCAGTAGACTTGGTTCTAAGTCTAAAAAGTGTTTAACTCTTACTTTAGCAAGAACACTTTCTTAAATTTTAGATCTTTCGTCTAGTCAACATGATCATAAAGGAGTGAAGGTACGAGCGGATACTTTTATAATAACTCTACCTTAATTTCTTTAAAATTTTCACTTAACGAGCTCAGACCTGAGGGAGAAAAAGAATTAACATATTTACTTATTTTTAAAAAATACGTTGACATTTTTGAATTTTCATTACAGTAAACTTGGTTTTAAAAGTGCAAAAGCTTTACTTGGTTTTTTTTTTAGATATTTGGATAATAAATAAGGAATGTATTAGAAGTTATTGCTCATTCAAAAAAAAATTTTTTATTAAATTTAGATAATTTTGATATTTGTAGTACTCGAAAAAGTTACATATGATCTGGAATAAGATTGTAATTTGGTCACTTCTACGTATAATATAAATTTACAATCTATTTCCGCCTTTTATTAAAGATTTAAGATAATTTTACATATCAGATATTGAGGAATTAAACCGAAAATTAGTAAATTGCCAAGTTATTTATATTTAAAATTTTCATCTATTATAAAACGCACCTATGATGGTTTGACACCTATCATTTTATTATATTTTATAGATTTTTCTAAGTTTTTAATAAGTTTTGTATATAAAAATTTTAACGCAAAATTTTTCATGTTAGTATTTAGGGTTAGAATGGCCTTTGGGGCGTAGATTAGAACACTCTCATTCTTACTTAGAACACCCCGTACCAATTAATTAGCCAGTTTTGAGATAATGTATTTATAAGTGTAAAATGTCATAGGTGCGTTTTAGTCTTCAAGTTTTAAATAGACAAATCTATTTTTTTAGTGTAACTTAAAAAAAAGTATGTTTTAAAACCATAATGAATGTATCATTCCCACCCAAATTCATGTGCAATATAAGTACCGGTACGTACATAATTATAAATTCTTAAATGTGAAACCAAAAATGTTTAATGTAAATTTAAAGCCGGTAGAAGTTTTACTAAGTCAGAAACATAATCGTTGAATTTCTGTTAAAAAGAATGATTTTATTGTTGGAATCTGACGCGAGAACTTGATTATAATGTTGACAATGCCAACATCATAATCTTAAAATACTATCCACATAACGATTGCTAACATTGATTTGGGTTTAATTTCAAATGTAGCACCGATATATCTCAAATACATGGCTTAATAATATTTTTAGTCAAGTTTGATTAAAGCAAAGAAAATTTATACAATGTAATTTTATTATTATAATGAATGTTATTAACAAATAAAATGAATTATATTCATTTAATTAGCAAATATTACAATTTTATCCGAAGGAAGCTACCTTTGCATGAAAAATTATAAAATTAAGCAACAGAGATTTTAGCAACTATTTAATATCAATTCTCATTCCAGATGGTTTGTCTTCTTTTGGAATTTTCACTTCAAGAATTCCATTTTCAAACTTAGCCGAGATTTCTTCAGTTTTAACGTTTCGAGGAAGAGTGACAGTACGAGAAAATGCACCATAAAGACGTTCTTGAATATGAGTATTTGCTTCTTTATATTTTTCCTCTTGCTTGGTTTCACCAGAAATAAAAAGTGAACCTTCACGAACGTCGAGTTTAATTTGTTCCTTAGTGACTCCCTATATTTAAAATTAAGATTAGATATGTAGTTTAGACAAAATTAACATTTGGGCACAACTTCGATTTATGATAAAACATAAATAGCGTACCGGTAATTCAGCATTTATGAGAAATTCCTTTTCATTTTCGTGAACATCGAGAGGTGGAATTCTGTGACCACGACTATTTGTTTTCAAAGCGCCACCAGAACGTTTAGCATTGTTAAAATCTTTAATAAAGTCATCAAATAAACGAGATACTGAAGTTTCGAAACGTCCAAATTCAGAATCAGGCCAAAGCAACGACATTTTTGTAATCTTTTACTGTGAAGGTTGATAAATTTTTTTGTTTGTGAAGAATGCCGAGTTTAGAAGATTTTTTTGTTTGCTTGTAATCTTATAATTCTTTGCTTTTTTGAGTTGAGTACGTTGGGTGTTTATATAACCTTGAATTCGTTGAATGTTTATATAATCTCGTCAATTCTGGGTGAATCTCGTATGATTCCAACACCAGAACTTTCCACATTATTATCGTTACATCGTATGATGTTCATCATTCCATTGATCATTTCACTGATCACGATGCTGCTATGACATCATTTACATATATTTAATAGTAATATATCGATATCGATATCAACTTACTCTTCTCGTTTTCCAAAGTCTGTAAATTTCTGGAACTTTATCGTTATATAATTAAAATTCTAAAATAACTGGCACTTTCAACAGATGTACAAACCGTTTAACATTTTGGGTAACTTATTTTATGAACACAGCATATGGTAGAGCAAATCTAGCGTCGCCCGCAAAAAGTGTAACATATGTCATAATTAAAACTCTGCCGACATAATAATATCGATATCATTTATCTCGAAATATGGGCAAAATTCATCTATACTCTTATTAAAAACTCTAATCTAACCCTAAAATCCTAAATTTTTTTTTTAAAAAAAAAGCCGACCGACAAAAAAGACTTTGTATATTATTTTACTAAGAATGTCACCGATAAATATTTTTAACAAATATAGAATCCGTAAGTTTCTTGAATTTATATTTGATTTAAAGATCTTTTCATTTATTACGACACTTCTGACAAGTCGTCAAAATCTTTAAACTAATTAAATAGACTATTACTTATATTATCGCTATGTACATATGAGTAGCTTTATTACTAATAATTCATAAATTTATAACGTCAACTATATTTTTGTGGGTGATATTAGGTTCGTTCATATATATGGTAAACTGAGATGTTGAAGTCCCGTGATCAGGATTAGAGAAATTAATTTAATTTCACCAATTCATTATTAATTTTATCACTATTTAGACTCATCAATTATTCGATTCATAAAATTTGAATGTTCTATAACGATAACGATAACGATAAATTTTCTGATTATCTAGTCACGCAAAATTTCGCAATATATAAATACAAAATTGTTATTCAATAAATTATTAATTTTAAATAGAGTTTTGGGTTATTTTACATTTACATTATGTTTTGTCTGCACGATCAAATTAAACAACACTTAATATTGACTCCATGCCAAGCTTATCATACTAATAATTAGTCTACCGCTACACTAGTGTACTGATTTACCAAGAACATAAGGTTAAATAGGGTTTGTTTATTTATAAATATTTCTACTTCAGGAAAAGATTTGTATGTTTATTTGGGTTTAATAAAACACCAATAAAACATGTGTGCCACACATCAAAGAAAAAAAATAAACATCTAAGAGATATTGATAGTGTGGTTGTTTTCTTTACCGTTCTCAAAATTCATTATTAATGGCTCGATTTCCAACTGTTATAAAATTCTTTAATATTGCTTCTTACCTTTTACTTGCAACTCTCGTTTCTGAACCGGTAATTTTTCAAAAATTCAACTAATTCGATTTCGCTTTTTCTCATAATAATTTTTATATATTTATTAGGAGTTTAGATTTGAATATCATAATTCTTACATACATCCGAATTTTTTCGTTTTTTATTTCTGGAATTTGATTCAATGGCTACTTGGCTTCTTTCGTAACTGTCGTTATTTCCTCAATCTACAATAAATTATTTTTTCAATCATGTCTAAAATTTATCATTTCCGGTTTTATTTTAGTTTTTTATCAATTCATTGATTTGGCAAACGAAACAATCGTCGATGGAATCGGTTGGCTCTTTGTTGGTTCTGCCTTGTTAAATTCAGTGTGGCTTGTCCTTGTGGTAATTTTTTTTAAAAAATGATTTTTTTTTCGTTTTTCTGTTCTTTGGTGAATCATCATCTAAAAATAAATATATATTAATGCTTCTTTTTTTTTAAAAAAAGGTATTTGACTACCTAATTCTAGCTTGGCTTGCAATCCTAATAGTATCCATTCAACTATCTTTAATTTACTACAACCTTAAGTACAAATACCCTCCCCAAAACCGTTTCGATACTTATTTTATACATCTTCCATTCAATATATATCACGCTTGGGTAATAGTGATTTCTGTGATTAGTTTATTCATTTCATTTATACCTGATAAAGATTCAGATTCCCAACCTTTACCAGGATTTGTTATTCAAATCTGTTCTGTTATAGCTTTGGTGATTTTGGATTTGGTGGCTATGGGATACATTTATAAGGGTAAAGGTGATTTTGTGGGTTCTGGTGTTATTGTAATATCTTTATTCGGGATTGCTTTGCAGCAAGGTGATGTGATTATACACTGGGTGGCTTTGGGTCTTGGAATTAAAACTACTATACTTATGATTATTTATTATATTAAGAAATTTTATAGAAGAAATGAAGAACAAATTCCACTACTAGTATAATATTAAAGAAAAAATTTTGTTATTTAGATCTTTTTTTATTTTTATTAGATTGTTATTAAATAATTATTGTATTATTAACTTTTGTATCCTTAATAGACATCTATCTGTATTTTTCTTGTAATTTTCAACTAATAAATGAATATCTAAAAATTTTATCTGATTCTTTTATCTTTTATCGGAAATTCTATTTTAAATCGGCTTGAATTTATTAAAACTATTATTGTTTCTTATACAATGTTTTTAATTCTAGGAACGAACTTATTAGGTGAAAATAAAACTCTTAGTATAGTTTGCAGAGAAATTACCATGTAGACCATCCATTCTTATCTACACTTATATCATATTATGAATATTTCTTTTGTTTAATCCTTAATTGACGTACTTTAACTGCACTAACCCAAAAACTTTCGAATTCATGAGGTGGTTTTTAAATGGTTCTCCGGTAAAGTAATGTCCATGCATTGTTTAGTAGTAGGGATAGGAATAAATTTATGGCCATGGTTAAGAATTCAACATTCTAACGACGAGACTTGGATTTTCCACAGGTTATAAAATTATGCAAGTGGAATTGTTTTGTGATATGGATCAGACGTGAGATGATAATCTTGGATGTTGTGTCGATTTTGATCGAGAGGTCGATTTTAAAGTCGTCTTCGGTTTCATTTTTTGCCACGTGTCGGTCATGACTTTTTGAATATGTGATTCTTCATCATTTTTGTTTTTTGGTTGCTGTTTTTTCTTTCAGTACAATAGCTTGGTTGTTCATCATTTTTGTTTTTTGGTTGCTGTTTTTTCTTTCAGTACGGGAGCTTATTAAAATAATTTTTTTATTTAAAGTTTCTAGTGCTTTAATTCTTTCATTTAAAATTTCACTTAAGGTAATGTCCATTCTCTGTTTTTTTTTTTTAAGTTTATCATGCCGAGTTTTATTTTTTTTCAAGTTCATTATTTAAGGTTGTTCTCAAACAGCTCCCTCAATGTAATTTACTAGTGATCAAAATGTTGCTCAACCATTTTGATTAATTGAACTTAATTAAAAATAATTTGGTCAAAACAAATCATTATCGTTATGAGATTTTAAATTTTAGCCAATCAATGCAACTCTAAAAAAAAAAAAACATAGTTGACCAGATCCAAGTTTTTTGACTTAAACGGTCATTATGATCTTTTTTTTTATAGTCAATCAGATCCTTTATAAATCATATGGAGTGACGCTTGAGAACAACCTAAGACTAGTCTTTAAAAACGTCTGTACCTGTACCGAAGCATCTTTGTATTTATCAATATTTGATATTAGAAAAAAAACTCGAATAAATGATTCGCATAAATAGCATTTAAGAATTGAAATTGCTGATTGTGTTAAATGTTGGTGTGTGAATGATGTAAATATGATTAATTGATTATCTGGGGTTTTTTTTTTTTTTTTTTACATATTTCCTTCACTTTTTTTTTTATATTTCTACACCCTAACTCCTGCTAAAAAGGTATACTACTACAATATATAGTACATGGGATCTTTGATGAAAATCACCCTTCGATATTTTCCGATCGGGCTAATTCTGACAAACTTACCGATTCTTGCGATAAATCATCCTTTTGCCTTTATTGGTTCAATAGTTTATCCGATAAACTATTGAATCAATAAAGGCAAAAGGATGATTTATCGCAAGAATCGGTAAGTTTGTCAGAATTAGCCCGATCGGAAAATATCGAAGGGTGATTTTCATCAAAGATCCCATATATGAAAGTAAGGTAGAAATATCAAATCCATATACGTAATAGTTTTGAGCTTAATAAATAAGTTTATGCTGTATACAGTTCATATATGCTTTAGTAATCATGCATTAAGTTTTGACAAACTTTACTGAAACTTGCAAAATTAAGTAGTAGCAGTATTTCTATCATATAGTAACTTTGTAGCAATAATAAAATAATTGTATAGAACTATTAAACTTATAAAATTTTAGTAGTAGTGGTATTGCTAACGTAGAATAACTTTATAGAACTATATCGTAACTATATAATTAATTGCAAGTAGTATTATAGTTACTAATTTGCTTGTTTCTGTAATGAATTAGAGTTCACAATACATTTTTAAAAAAAATTTATAACATACTCAACATTTACGAAAAATCTAAAACATATTAAACTATAGAATTAGTTATATCATTTGGAAGTAATGCGTAATAGAAAATTATTAAACTTTTGATGCAAATAAGTTTATAAAAGCGAACGTATAATAGTAACTCATAAGGCATAAATGAACTAAATTTAATCATTTGTATGAGATTTAAATAGATCTAATTCGTTTACTAAATCAGTGTAAATTTCTTTATCAGTAAATTTTATCAAAATAAATTTTTTTAAAAATTTTATATATCAAAATAAATTTCATCAGAATAAATATCTTCTCACTTATTATTTGGTTTATTAGTTGCGTAGATCTTTCATCAATTTGCCATTTTTCAAAAGCTTCTACGATTTTGTCTGTAGATAGACGTATTTCCGGTTCTTCATCCCAATACTATTTCATTAAATTAGCATATCATGTTTCTGTATCTTTTTCAGAAATTGATGATGACCTTAATTTATCGAGTATTATTTTCCTTTGCAAGTGTGTGCTAACTTTTTCTTGTTATAAAATGTCATCACTGGCATTCCGTATAAGATTTACCACATAATTATGCCAAATGAATAAATATCAGATATGATTTTCTATTTTTAACTTCTGGATCAATAACGTTTGGTGCTATATACTGTAAAATTCCACAAACTTTATCAGATTCCGTCATTGAATCTAAATATTTCTACTATGTAAATCTCGATGAATAAGTTCTTGAGAATGAATTATTTGAAGATCAGTAACAATAAAATGCAATAATTTTAAAAGTTGCTACGCAAAGGCCCCATTAATGCTACTTCCATAACAAGAATATATTTCTTAGAAATATCATCTCTTGATATTCCATAGCACCTTAAGAATGTCGGATTTTTGTAGAGTGTTAATTTCCAACATGTACACATAAATTCATTTATCTCTTTCACAAATACTTCATGATTCTCCTTTGATTTATGAAGCAACTTAAGTGCAACAAGTATACTAACCTTCCGGTTTTGATTTGGATTTTTCCAGTTAGCATAATAAGGAATTCAAGATAATGGATATTCGCTTTCAGTTAGTATCTTTTTTAAATTATCACCAATATCCAAATTTTCATGTATACTAACGAAAATTAAGTTATCGTTATATCACTTTGACAAATAAATATAATCAATATAATAATTAATTACTTAATATTTGTTTCCGTTCTCTAATAATTTAAATTAATTTTACATTTATTAAAAAGAAATATATAATTTTATCGTGGCTGTATAAAAATAACTTACATCTGGTATCATTCATTAGCTTTTTTTTTAAGTCTCTTGTTACTCCAATTCCATTACGATAACAATATCCAACGCTAAATGTCCCATCAGAATTTCCCATCTCGGCAGATTTTTGATAATAAATGAATGCTTTATGTTCATCCTCAACTCCAATTCCATGCCGATAACAATATCCAACGTTAAATGCTCCATCAGAATTTCCCATCTCAGCAGATTTTTGATAATAAATAAATGCTTTACGTTCGTCCTTTTCAATTCCAATTCCATTATGATAACAATATCCAACATTATATGTTTAATTAGTGCCCCCATCTCTGCAGATTTTTGATAATAAATGAATGTCTTATATTCATCCTTTTCAATTCCAATTCCATTAATATTATTCCATCAACATGTCTCATCTCTGCAGATTTTTGATAAAAAATGGATGCCTCATGTTCATCTTTTTCAACTCCAATTCCATCTCGATAACAATATATGCTCCATCAGTATTCCCCATCTCTGATGATTTTTGGTAATATTCGAATGCCTTAAGTTCATTCTTTTCAACTCTTATGCCACTTCGATAACAGTCACCAAGTGCAAATTTTCATCACCCATCTCTGCAGATATTTGGTAATAAATAAATGCTTTATATTCATCCTTTTCAACTCCTATGCCACTTTGATAACAGTGGCCAAGTGCAAATATTCCATTAACATCACCCATCTCCGCAGATTGTTGGTAATAAATAAATTGCTTTATATTCATCCTTTTCAACACCAATTTCATATTGATAACGGATTCCAACTATACACATTTCTTTTGAATCTTCCGTCTAAGAAGCTATTCGAACAATAGGGGACATATCAACAATCTTTAATTATATTTTTAAAACGTTGTTTACTATTACACTTTTGATAAGTATTGCCCATTTTCGATAAAAATTATTTTAAACGTCTGGTAGGCAATATCGATATTCTGAATACAAATATATAATTTCAGTAGAAATGTTTTGCGTAACTATCAGGAATAAATTTAACCAAATATATATACGTATTGTTACATATAAAATATCTAACGATAATGGAAAATTCTTTATTAAATAAGGAACTAAAAAAGTAAAAATCCTTTCAGCCGTAAATTCTTTATTTTATAACTAGTAACAAAGAATTTTATACCGATATGCAGGCTTACATTTTAATTAAATGAAATGACTAAGAAAAGAAAACACCCACATAGTCATCCCAGCCATTGTTGCCGCAAGAATTTTGTGAAATATTATAGTTTAGCCGTAATCTCATTTTACAATTTTTTTTTAAAGTAGTCCATACCTTTGGTTCTAACAATGATCTAAAGCAAAAATTGTTGTATAACTTATGTATTTCCTTAACGTTAAGATTTAGTAAATTAATAAGTACAGCATATGAAGCTAAAATTGACTGACAAAAATTTTAATCTATTTATGATATTTAAATTTTTTGTGCTTTCTTTATAGAATTTATAATTAGAGTTGTTAGAGAGAATTCTAAAAGTAGCTGTACCAATTCAGTACGTGTAAGTGGTTGTTGTCCAAATATAAAACAAGGAAGAAAATTTTTGAAATTGCCGTAGAGCACACAAACATTAGAAGATAACGTTTCTTATTATTAAAATTTATGCAGAACCCTTTTCGTTTACCCATTTTCATATAAGTTTGTTTTGAAATACAAAGCCACAAAATCCATTTAAATGGATTTTGATTCTTCGATACTTACAGCGTATGTACTGCCGTGATAGGTGACCTTGGTTTTTTTTTCATGCAGCAACCTTCTTTTGCCATGGTTAAAACTACTCTAATTCTACAGCTCCAATTTATAAATTCATGATTAGTCAGTTTTGAATCTTTTAATTATGTAGTAGATATGACGTCTATAAAAGTTCGAGATTTAAACTCCAGACGAAGTTGCCCCTTTTGTGAGATAATGTTATCATATCTCGAAATAAAATTTGAAAATATCAATGATCAATAAATTTATCAAGAAGTCTTACATATTTTGCTTAAAGCCATATGATATGTAAAGTGTTTTTTATTGCAATATACTCAAAAGCAAATGCAATGTCTTTATATAATGTACTGCATCGAGTCGATAATGAAGTTTGCTAATGACTATTAAAAAATCATTGTCGTTATTAAAAACTGAAAGCAGAAAACCGAAAATGGATAGCCTAGATCTCGAAACGGCGGGCGGGTGTGGATTATAATTATGGGTAAAGGTAACTCAAAATAACACCCATTATTTTGGAGATTTAAATAAATATAAATATTAGAAACTAAGCAAATAATGCCGAAATAGAAAGATTACAGTTGTAATCGCCAGTTTGGAACAAAAAATCATTTGCTAGAATCGTAAGAACCAGAGCTAACTGGAATGAATAGTTGCCATCCTTGATAATTTCGCAATCTGGAGTTTCTACTCATCCATCTTATTTATCTTAAAGAACGTTATGATTTTCTTTAAAAATCTGTGATTATGGCTCACTGAATGCAAAATGAAAATTTGTATAATGTTTATTTGCATTTAAAAAGAATTTGGCATCGTTCATCGAAAACTATCGATTTATTTTAAACAAAATGAAAATTTGTATAATGTTTATTTGCATGTAAAAAGAATTTGGCATCGTTCATCGAAAACTATCGAGTGATTTTAACAAGCATAAAATGTAATTACAGTGAAACTATCGTTAGTTAGCGGGTACAAGAGTTGTATCTTGCATCAAACAATATAATGAAAAGGAACTTTCTTTTAAACAATGAAGTAAACGTTTGTTTTAAAAAATAGACAAACACATTCTTTATATGACACTAAAATATTACTATCAAGAAATTTAAACCCATAATGTAACAAAAAAATAAGGTAATACAAAAAATCAACAAAATTTTATAAAAAATTCAGGTTTGCCAGACATTTTTCTTTCCCATTTAGCAAGCTTCCAATCTTCTTCATCAACTATCATAATTTTTTGGTTAAAATTATTTTCATAGTAAAAATTTTTCAGTGTAGCTTCAAAAGAAGAGGTGGTAGTTTGTTGTTTGTTTATGTAAAAAAGTAATTCCTCTAATGTTGCTTTTTCGGGAATTTGAAATGTGTTTTTTATTGTGGTACGATGAATTGGAGAATCGATTGCGTAGTGTATTGTGAACGAGGAATATTTATGCTAATAATAATAATATAAAATTTTACTATGATATCATATATCATATACAAATACTCTTAATAAACATTTTAGATTACCTTTGTGATATGATTATACTTAGGTTGATGATTAATGATTTTATTATTGGCAAATTGATTATTAATCTTGACTTCAGGTGACTTGACACTGGTTTTCTTGTTAACAGGGACAAAATTGTTATTAGGTTGATCCTAAATAATTGTATTAAAAAGTGATATTATTTTGTCATTTAAATAATGCTATTTAAATAATAAAAGGTTTAAAATAACAAACCTTATTAAGAACTGTATCTTGATTCCAATTGGAAGTTGTATCTTGATTCCAATTGGAAATTGTATCTTGATTCCAATTGGAAGTTGTATCTTGATTCCAATTGGAAGTTATATATTGATTCCAATTGGAAGTTGTATTTTGATTCCAATTGGAAGTTGTATTCTGGTTCCAATTGGAAGTTGTATTTTGATTCCAATTGGAAGTTGTATCTTGATTCCAATTGAAAGTAGGTTCATAAGAACTTCTATCGAGCCTCTGTAGATTCACGCCTTCTTTAAATTTCATCAAACGACCTTTGCTTACTAGATTCTTAGGCTTAGCAATCATTAGTGTGGCATTCTCCAATAACCTATTTGTCAATTCCGGTATTTGTGTTGCTGATGAAATAGACTCGGATGGATAACAATAATGCTATTTTATAATAAATATCAATGATATTGATAAAATGTTGCACGTGAAGAATATTTACTATAAATATAATAAACTATATTTACCTCACTTATAATTCCTTTCTCAAACTCAAAATAAATATTACGACTTTCCATTTTGAACCCAACCACTTGATTAATTTCTATAAAAATGATTTCTTTAACCTTCAAATCTTTCTCTTCTATATCATCCATTTCATCACTATCGAGTAAACTTATAAGTTCATCCACAGATGACTCAATATCTTCTAAGTAACGGTCTAAAATTATAGAAACACCTTCTTCACCAAGTTTAACACATAATTCTAAGTTGGTACATTCGACACTTGTGGTCACATCAGCCGATAAAGTTTCATCCGTGATAGTTCCAGAGAAAAGTTGAGTTTTTTGAGGATGAAATGTTATACTCTCGATATCGATACGAACGAGATCGTCATCTGATGTGGAGATTAATAAGTTGCGAGATCGGTCTGATGGATCTTGAAAATGATCAAAGGTGTTAAAGAAATATCGTTGAAAATATATGTACAGGAAATTAGAAATTTTATCTTCCATGTGACGTTTTTGACTAATTAATACATTATAAAAAAGTTAACTGATTATATGTATCTTTCAAAATTCGGTTATGTAGAATTTATCATTCATAAATATCATTTATATAAAAAACCGTTTTTTACAAAATAACTTAATATATTTACCATTTCCATAATCATTGCCGTTATTTTCATAATATCTATTCATTTTTTAATCCGCAACTGTCACAAGAAAAAACAAAAACCAATGTTAGTGGACAAATTTTATGGTACGTACCATTCATTAATCGGTATGTATTGCCGATCTACTGTAATACCCCTAGCAAGAAAACATAGGTCACATGCTGCAAATCAAGATCTAAACATGATAGTCGACTAATTTGGTTCATATGATTATTTGATAATAGATAACGCCAAAAGTTTCAAATTCAAAGGCATACTAGAATTCTAAAAACTCAGAATACTAAAGCACTGAAATATTTTTAAACGATTGAGCGTTATAAATCACCAAGTTATCATAACAAAAAACAACACAATTTAAATATTTAAGAAACTAGTTATTGTGTGTTCTAGTTAAAAAATTCAGGTTTAAATGCATTTTATATACAAATTCTATATAATTTATCCTTAGATCAATTTCTTCTGCCAAATAACCCTGATTAGAATAGAATCCTAGTACTAGCAAGTAATAACGATTTCACAAAAATTGCAAACCGCAACATTACTATTTATAGAGATTATCAATATTACTGTATTAGAACCTGTTATGCATCAAATTCTGGGATGTATCAAGCTGAAAGTTGAGATACATAACGATAAGGTAAGAAATTACTGATTGAGTCGAACAATAAGGGTTAAATTTACCGATTCAGGTTGAACGGTGAAGTTAATTTGAGTTGTGATAAAATTGATAATTTATCGTTATCATTATATACAGCTGAAGTATAAAATAGCATATGTTAGGAAGACATTCGCACGGCAGGGGTGAACATTCTCGATTAGAAATGATGACCAATCAAAATCGTTAATTAAATAAATGCACTGAACATTATTGTGATTAACAAGTATGTTTGTTTATTAATCCATTTAGATATTAATTAATAAACTAATTTCTACAATACGCCGTAATGTCGTGGATTATTGTGAAATCGGACTCGATTTTTTTTTTGAATTTACCTTAATATATAAGGTGCGCTTATGGCGCTTGAGGACTCAATTTGAAAATATAAGTCCTACCTATACTCTTATTAATAAATCTAACCCCTAAATCCTAACTCAGCTATATATAAAAAAAAAGGCTGACAAAAAAAAATTTTAAAAATCGTACACAAAATAGATCCAAATTTCATAATAATCCGATTTCATAATTATCCGTGATAGTTATTGTTATTTAGGCCACTTCAAATTGATTCTTCGTTTAAGCATACATTATTGGACAGACGATGAAAAATTTCCTGTTATCGTTATGTGTCGTAAATTCCAATAATGGTGTTATCTGATAGTTTATATGACCGTGTGAACGTAATTTTGTGCAAAAAATATCATGGCAAAAAAATTCACATGGTCATATGAAATATCAGATAATACAGTATTATATGTATTATATGTATTTTCACCAAACAAATTATAAGTTTTAAAAGAATAAAAAAAAAATACAAACCAAAAATTAAGAGTAGGGTGTACGTAGATCATTTTTTACATGATCTAGATGGTATAATAGATTTTTATATAGTAAATTAAAAATGTGTTACTAATAAAACTTTTTTATTTAGACCAAAGAGGTCATCTTAACACCAAAAAAAAAACTTTTTTATTATTTAATTAATTTTTATCAAAATTTAATAATATATAGATTTAAATAAGTTATTTATTATGTTAAAATTTTATAAGATATTTAATTTAAAAAAATTCTATTTGTATATACTTTGAATTTTTTTAGGAGCTCTATGTTTTTTTGGAGTTATATAAAAGTAACTTTAATTAGTTAATTTCTGAAAAACTATAAAAGAATTTTAATAGTCAATTTTTATATCTAATCTTTAAAAATTCATATATTAATAAGTTTTATACCAATTTTAATAATTTTACTACTATTAAAATCACAAGAACTTACTTTACAACTTTATTTAAAAGTTCAAAAAATATTTAATTTGTAAAAATTTTTATAATAAAAATTATAAAAAAAATATACTATTAAGTTTATATATAATTTTAAAATATTATATTTTATTTTTAAATAATAAACAAATATAGAATTATTATAATATATAGAAAAACTAATAATTTTATATCAAATATAATTCAAAAGTTAATATATATGCATATATTATATAGTCTTTAATATTTAACATTATATAGTGGGATGCAAATCACCTAACTCTCTTCATAGATCACTAAAACCAACTTTTCTCTAACAAACAATTCAACTTTTCTCAATATTTTACTAAACT